AGTCAGCAAAGTGCATTATAACATATATTCCTTCTTTGGTATGAAATGAATTTAGCAAAGTGCATTTTATCCGTATATTCTTTCATAGGTATAAAACCGTCTTCTGTTGTAAAATCATATCAAGTGTAACACATTAGTCTGTATGATACTCGGCGATGGCCTTTCTTTTACTTGCCACAATGACACCTGCTGTAGCACTTGTGAAACTATAATCTGTAACATTTTTTTTTGAAAAGTGGTTCAGTTATACTTATGCATTTACTGACTGTCCCATAAACTGTAAACACTATTGTTCACAACTTGGCTAAGTTTGGGGGGATTTGTGTTTATAACAAACACAATTTGTTTACGGCTACATTTTTTTGGTCATTAAGAAGATCATAAGGCTGTGCTTGACAAGCGACACGATACCTAATTTTTCCACCCGTCTTTATGCTAGAGTCTACGTAATTCTTTACCAGGGATAATAACGACTCCGTCACTAACTCTGTTATACATCACAACATCCAACGAAGGAAATTGATGGTGTGGGTACATTACGGGACTAGAGTTATTGAAATCAAAATCACATTAGAATCGCATTAAGTACGCATCAAACAGTGTTAATGTTAATTACATTCATTACTGTAATATACAATTTAAAGTAAACATGGGGATTGAAATAGACTTCCTTTGATTTGCTATAGAGAAATTTTCTTTTCCTTCTTACCGACTGATTCATTGTGGTCTCTTGTTTTATTGCAATAATAATGCACGTTTTACCACGTATTGCGGTCATTACTAATAAAACAGCGTGATCGTAGGATCAAAACCTAACGTCAAAGGTGCAAATTTTCTCACATGATCGAAGCTATTTCTAATCTTTTACATTTCAGTCTTATTAAATTTTTAATTTACATCTACATCAAACATAGGTTTATTACACTCTTGCTGATAGATATAATTCACATCATACCTGAGCTTTGATTCGCCAGCATCAGTAATATTCCGCTAATTACAATAAAGTTGTTTGCCATGATGTGCAGTATGAAAAACCCAAGCGTGGACTCTACGGTCAACTGACGAAAGATGTTTTTGTGGACTCGGTTCAATGGACACACACAAAATCATTAGACACCGTCACGCTTTATTAGAGAGAGGAATGTCACACATAAGGATCGAAAAATGGCTGAAGTCCAGTCTAAATTTTACCATCGATCATACGTTATAGAAATAGACTCCTGAAATATTTTAACCCCCCCCCCCCAAAAAAAAAAATCACAATTCATATATATTAATTGTCTGATCTTTAGTATGTACATGTACCTCTCATATTGGAATCAAAAACTTGGTAAGGGGTGGCATGTCATATCATTGCTGCTTAATTTTTCCTGATAAAAATCAAATTTAGCTTTAAATTTAGACTGTAACAACTTTTGTTTGACCAAGTTACGGTCACGACTGATGCTGAATAAAATGTAATATCATGTCAGGAGTGCAACAAAATAAGATACAACAGGATCACTTTTAAATATATTATTTTTAAAAACTTACTATATCAAGCTTCCTGTCTGGCTTAGATTTGAAGGATTGACTAAATTGAAAAAAAAGTATTTAGGGGTAATTTATTGCATCATATTTCTGTTAAAGTTGAGACGATTAATGTTAAATAACAATCAAAAAGCCATTTTTGCCACATATACAAGAGAAGAAAGGGTTTAGATCTAATCATTTATATCCCTGACACAAGTCCAAAGGATAAAATACTACAATTTCTTTTGATTATGTATTTCAGAAAGTCTTTTTGAAATGTAGTAATATCTTTTTTCTTCAAAAGAAATTCTACTAATAAAATTTCTGAAACTTTTTTTCTATCCATTTGTCTATTCTATTGTTACTTCAGAAAATTTAACTAGAATGTATATACAATATGATTGTTATAATTGAAAAATATGTTATGGTAAGTTTTTTTTTCAAAAAAATTCAAAATTTGTCGGGGATATTCAGTCCGAATCTAATAAGTTATCATTTTGAAGCAGATCAAAACAACGCAGATTTAAATTAAATAAAGATTTGAAAGAGCAGGCCCGTAGAAAGCGGAGGGGGGGGGGGCGCTCCCCACTTTTTTCTGAGTATAGTATTTTGCTATAGTAAATTTTCCTTTAGATGCTGGTTAATTGCCCCCCCCCTACTTTTTGATATGTTGTATTGGCAAATTCCAGGATTTGGACAGTAAATAAGTTTTTTTTGCTTGTCAGATAATTTTGGGAAGTCCCCCTCTACTTTAGGTTAGTTTAGGGTTTTTTTTTTTTTTTTTTTTTTTTTTTTTTTGCTTGTCAGATTTTTTGGGGGAAGTTGCCACCCCCTCCCACTTTTGAAACTGTTGCTACGGGCCTGAAGAGGACTATGTAGAGATTACTCCCTGTGAAAATATTGACAACAGAAAGAGCGAATAACTTTCTGGAATGAAAGCAAATACACATTTTTAAAAAAAAAAAATGTGTGATTTGTGCAACTTACGATTTATTTCCTATTGACCTTTAAAAAAAACAAACTTTGTGGTAATAGTCAATAGGCATAAGCTAAGGGATTTATGAAAGAATTTTTGTAATTTAATGTTGCTTAGATATAAACCTTAAATGAAATATATTCGCATGGATCAGGAAATATATTTTTTTATATACCGCTTCTGCTAAACTTAGGGGATATTGTAAGGTACAATTTTAACCTGGTTCACTATTCTATGTCACAGATATTACTTTGGGTTTAGCTGTCCATCCATCTGTCTGGCTGGCTGGGTGTAACTAATTTTAGGATGGTAACTTAAAAACCGTTTAGCTTTTGCAATCAAATTCCAATTTCATACTCCGTATGACTTAGAGAAAACCCCTATCGAAGATTAAGGTCAGGAATTCATATACTGAATATTGCATAAAATGGTTTCCAGATATGTTATCTTTAGTTGTTTGAGCTTTAGTAATGAAACTTAAGATGTTAAACTTTGTAAACTAAAGAAAGATCCTTTCAGTTATTGATTTTGAGGCCAAAAGATGAAAAGTCAAGGTCAATCCTCTTTTTTCTTTCTTCATCCACATTTCATTAGTTTTCACCCACTTACATGTATTTTGCCCGTGAATTCCGAAATCAGCTTTTTATTTCTTTTGTTTTATCATTGATTCTTTTAGTCGCATTTCGCAAGGAGGATTTTTTGGAAGGGAGGGAGGATCCAAATGTTGATTTTGAGATGAAATGTCAAGGTCAGAAATTCACATATATATTGCCAAAAAAAAAGCTTCCAGATGATACCTTTAGATCTTTTTGAGCTTTTGCATTGGAATTTCATATCATAACTCCCTAGGACTTAAAAAAGGCCCAAATTGATTTTGGGGTCAAATGACAAGGTCAGAAGTTTAAATATTGAATTAATGGTTTCTATGATAACTCAAGTTCTCTTAGAGCTTTTGAAACTTCTGAAACATAAGAAGATTATGACTTTCTGTAAGAAAGACCTTTATTTATTTTGTGGCAAAAAGGTGAATAGTCAAGGTACATGCAATAAATTCGTACATGGTATAAAATGGTACACTTTCTTCCGTATTTCTAAAAAAGTCCTTCAGTTTTTCCACTAAACTTTTATATCATAATTCCCCATGACTTAATTAAAGAACGCTATTGATTTTCTGGTCAAAGGCCAAGGTCACAAATTCATTTAATACATTAAATTGTTTGTAAATGATAGTTTGCTTTCTCTGAGCTTTAAAAATGAAACTTAAGTCGACGACCTCACCAACTTAAGGTATGTCACTCGTGAAATTAGTTATATCAAGGATTTTTTGAGAAGTATATTTTAGATAAGTACTCATATAGCATGACTCAAAATCGCAAAGAAAATGGGGGGTCAGTGTGCATCCTACCGAGTTAGGGTACAATTAAGTTGATCTTTTTGCACTTAAATTGTATTTTTTTGGACAATCACTTTAATCTTTGTCATATTTTATCAGAGGTAATTTTGGCAATAAACATAATCTTATTTTACGTAAAATAGTTTGAACGATATTTATCATTGAACAAATCATGCAAATAACTGCGCATAAATTATTTTGTGATCTTTTTGCACTAAAAAAGTATCGTATTTGGGGTATAAAATATCTAAATAGGCAATTAAATATTTTCTTGTATCAAACTTTCTATGACTTACATGTAAGTGCTGATCGATTGGAAGTATCGTGCTGTTTAAAATAATGAAAGAAAAAGTTGGGGTCACTGATGTAAATTTTGAGATATTGGTCAAAATTTGCGATTTTCAGGCAAAAAAACGGTGTAAATTTTATCTTGACTTCTTTAATATCTTTATTTCTTGGCAAAGTCTGTTGAGTGAAAGTGTAAAACTTACTCTAAAAATATAAATTGGGACCTATATTTAATATTCATAGCATATTATAACGGAAAATTTTCTCTTAAGTAAAATTATGTGGGGCTAAACTTACAAGACATTAAATTTAACAAATGTGGAGATTTGAAGAATTTTCTACTAAATATCCTTCCACCACAAGAAATAGTCCCTCATAAATCTTGCTTCTTTATGAATTTCTGAGCAGTTTTTTCATTGAATGTTGAATAATTTGCATTGTTTAATTTAAATATGTTATAAAAATTGAATTGTAATAAATAGTTTTGAACTCAAAGGTTCTGACTGAACTTTTCTAAACAGCTGACGAGTGACATATCTTAAGAATTTTCTGGCCATAAAGTGAAAGGTCAAGATAAAAAATTAACACCTTTTCATAAATGTCTACACACCAATACTCAGTCTAAAACTAAAGCATGACCCCTACTGATTTTAATGTGAAAGGGTCAATTGTCAAGGTCATAAAACTGTCTATTGGTACAAACTGTTTCTGGATAACTCCAGTTAACTTCTGTCCTTAAGGCCCTTAATGAACTGTTTGAAAACGCTTCACTTTTTGAGGACAAAATTTTACAGATGGCTTTAAGGTGCATATATATGAATAAAGACTTGCTGATAATAAACATTTTATTATCGACAGACATTAAATTGCACATATACATAATATTAATTCACTTGTAATATTACAATATCACAGCTGTTGTGGTAACCATTTGTTACCAAGACAACGACACATCGTATCCTAGGCGGTCATCGCTCTGCTTAAACTAAATAAGATCAGATGACATCTATGTAAAAATGTGTAACGTAAGCGACAAGCTGGTTAAAATATAATATGAAAATGAAACTAACTAAATTTCAAAATCACAAAAAACTAGCTCTTTTTTATTGGACACTTACTCTGTTTGAAGGCATGTCATTGTTTTACAATGTGTTACACTGATGTGAATCTTGATTCAGATGGATATATATTATGAAAGCTTAAATTTCCTTACAAGCCTATGCCTAATCTATGTCACAAAGACGCTTGCATGCAACATTCCAAACATACTTGAACTTCTACTTAAATTACTCATTCAAGTCCCTCTTCTCACAGTTCTGACTGTGATCATACATATTCATTCTGGATCTTTAAAATAATACAGTTAAAAAAAAAATCATCAACACCATTTTGCAAATAAAGTACAAATTTGATAAAAATCCATAGATTTAACTGTAAATAAATTAAATTGCAATGAGATTCTACAACAAAAAAACCCATAACACATCAGCACATAATTTGTTACCTTGGAAAGCAAATAGAATATATGGAACCTTTAATGGTTTTATACATAGATGAGATAGAGTTAAGTCTTGTTGAATATTGCAGCCATTGATGGTTAATTGTTAACCTCTGCATCAAAGCATCTTGTTCCCATATACCATGATCTAGCATTTTTGAGTTTTGAATCGTGCAATCCTATGAATTTGACATTTACTGTGTGTGTTGCATACATTTATCCATTTATGAATTTACCGGTATGTTTTGTTCTCATGTTGGAAAAATTGAAGATACATGTACCTCAGAGCAATTAAACTAATCTTAAATCAAGTTAATTTGCAAAGAATGAAATGTGTTGTTGAACTAACTGATGCATGCTTTTTTAAAGTCTCAACTCAAAAAGGCAACAACTGGGAAATGTCATGATTCAGAAGTAATTCAATTTAAAAATTCAAAATGTTTGTTTGCCAAACATGAATATCATACCTTTCTATAAGTGGTTGTGCATTAAAAAATCTACTGTAACAATAGAATCACATACGAATATTAATAATTTCATTTTAGAATGAGATCTTTGAATCCTGACCCAATCAGTTGTGACCTGACCTGAAGCTAAACCTTGACCAAATCTCATGTTTCTAAAATACAGTTGAAGTTCGATTTTTCGAACATTATTACCTTGAATACCATAGATAGATCAAAGTAATTTGAAATTCTCAACCACTTATTTTTTTTTATTAATATTTAACCTTGATATCTCATATCTTTGGATATCTCTGATTTTTTTTCTTCACCACATGGAGTTCAAGATAATAAGGTTTTACTGTAGTTAAAAAGTTTACAGCAATGGTGAACAAATTTTAAAATTAAGGACTTAAAAATCAATAAACAAAGGAAAAAAAAGAAAAACAATTTTCCCAAGTTTCCAATCTGGAGGCATAATGGAATTCTTTGTATTAAATGTTGACTAAATGATTTAAGGCATGATCATTAGGAGCAGGTTGACACACATCAAATATACAATAGAACTTAATATGGTATTAACAGAAGGAAAAATCCTCATCAGAAAAACTTGGATAAACATTTCCTATTGTTCACAGACAGAATGCTATCCATACAAAAATACTATTGTGCAAAAGAGTTGGTTACACATCATAAAAAAATGTGCAGTGTCCATTAAAAAATCATCATCATACCAAATGGAATCGCCACACTTATAACCATGATACAAATAATATCTCTTCTTACACTCAGCATAATGTAATAAATAAACAGTCAACACAAAACTATCTAATTAACACACATGTAACTTAAGTATCGAGTGTAACACAATCTTACACAATGTAAGAGGAACTAACTTCACAAGTAAATGCCTCCACTGTTGATCTGGTAAATAGCTGATGGAAAAGTTTAGCACACTGGGCCAAGTTTAGATCAATGATTCTGACAAGTCTTTCAGCAAATTGTAGATAGGGTAAAATCATGAAAGGTCATAAAATGCAATCACTATTAGATAACATTGTTGTGTAGACTTTGTGATGATAATATTTGCTTATTTAGGTGTACTGGAGAGTGAAAGAGAGACACAGGGGTACCAGAGTGATAATTTGCCCATCCGATACAATTTAAAATACTGGTGACAATATGTGCATAAAAATTCCTCTAAAACACCTGTTTCCTGGATTGAAAATATCAGTGAAATGTTTTCTGATCCTTCAGGCAGAAATTTCAATTAATACAAATTTGCTTGTGTGCTTGGTGAAAATAAAATGGCCACTTCTATCGGGAACTGTTCTTTCCATCCTCTACCAATACTGTTTTTCAGCATGGAGAGAGAGAAGAAGGAAAGCATTATGTCACATGGATATCACACAAAACAATGCTTCATCTTTGTGTCATGTTAGACACAACAACAAATTGCAAGTTGTTCCCGCAGCACACATCCTTTATCAAAGAATGACACAACATTTGCAATAACGTTGTCTACCATTACCCACAGCTGGGGGTGGTGTCACAGGGGCAAAATATGCATGAACTTTGATGTTGGGTAGTCTGGTCTGCAAAAGAAGAAAAAGAAAGTTTAAAACAAAGCACAGATCCAATAACAACTTCAGACAAAGTAAAATGTATTGCAATCTCCTTTTGCAATCTAAATTGTGCTCATATTAATAAACCATGAAAAAGTTAAATCAGTTTGTATGTCCCAAAAAAATCCTCAAATATTTTCACAGTGGAATTCAGTTTTTACAAACATGTAACATTAAAGAGGAGCTTAGCATAGGTTATAAAACAAGCAGTAAATTTTGTATTTGTACTAATACACTTAAGAGCAATAAAGACAAAAGTTTCTGATGTTATTATAACATCCTGTACAGTCAACTTGAGTAAGGGGTCTGTTATGGCATTAATTGTCACCCTGTATATATTGCTGACTATCCTGTCATGTTTCATCACCCCTTGGCACTAAATGAGTTAATGAAGCTGGTGGCAATATAAGCCAGGAGGATTGTCATTACATCTAATTGACTATATCTGCACAATTCAAAAGCTTTGATAAACAATCCAAAACTTTTAAAATGGCCTTTCGGCAGCTAGATCTACCTTGTTGCCAGGTCAAACTTTTGTACAAATTCTACTCAAATCAAACTTATGGTTGTCTTTATCATGAAGTCTTAATTTTTAATTTTTTTTTATCCAATGACAATATTTATTGTAAAAGTCTTCATGGATCTATGACAGTCAGAACATATGCTTAAGGAATGTTTTTTAAGTTTTGTGTGAGTTATTGGTGTGTAAGTCACACAGATTTGTCACGTAGGCATATTTCATGAAGCACGTTAGCGCTTCATGAAAAATATGCCTAACTGCAAGTCTGTGTGATTTACACACTAATAATTCACACTAAACTTGAAAACATTCATTATATTTACATTTTACATGTGCAAAAGCACTAAAAATATACTCAATGTTTGAATTATTCCCTGCCCTATATCGTTACATTTTTATTAATGTCTCTATAGCTTATTGTGAGGTCACTTTAGTGCGAGTTTATCCATGTATATTTCTATGCATGAGTATACACGAATATGGCATTCAAATCAATTTCACAGTTGGCTTAGTAGAAAAACACAGCAAATGTAAATGTTAACATATAAATACACTGGCACTCAGGTTGACAATGTATGCCACAACAGAGATCTCCATTAATCTCTCAGTGCAAGTTGATTTTTATTTAACAGTTGCAAGACAGTATGGTCAAGGACATATCCTTACATTTGCTTAATAAGAAAAATATTCATCTGTTCAACATGATGAAATCAAATGCTGGTGGGTAGGAATGTAGGCTCTATCAACAAACAACACAAAAATACTGCAGTTTTGACAAAGTTCAATGATAATTAATCTTTGTTGAAAAATTGAAAACATTTCAACATACATGAACTGAGGATGCAAATTAAAGATCACATATTCTGAATGAAACAAGAATGATGACAAAGGGGTGAAAACAACTGAATGCAAGTAAAAAAAAAGTACATTTAGCTAAGTCACCTAACTGCCTTCAGTAAGAATATATGACTGTACAATTGCAAATAAATCTCTCTCATAAGCAAGAGTTGGAGCAACCACTACTATATGTTTATTTACACGTATGCAATTTTTATATTGATAAGCATCATAACTGTTAATGAAAACCAAGATTGATATATTTATGAACTAAGTGTTCACACTTAAACATCTGATACATACTCGGAGTCTGCGAATCGCGGCTTTCGTGATGAGCTGACAGTCGTAAAGTTCTATTCTCTCGAGACTCTGACATCCTGTTAAATGTTCCAGTGATGCGTCAGTAATTAACGGACAATTGTCCAGTTCAAGAATACGTAACTGTTCAGTAGCACACGCACCAGATCCTATATGTCGAATTCCTTCATCAGTTATCAACTCACAATGAGATAAGGTCTAGGGAAGAAATATTTTCACGTAAAATCAAGATATACATGTAGATATAAATACTTGTACACTTCAAAAATAAGATAGTATTAACAATACAATTAGAAATATGCCTTTATTTACCTACCATTAAAACCTAGAAAAAAAATCCTTTACTGCTTATGGTTATGTGTAAATAAACTTTCCTCGTTAAATAGATACTTGTTAATACATTTACATGTAACAGCTGATATAGAACTTACCATTTACAAGTAATTTTTGGATTATATTTATGCAATGTTCATATAAATAGAGTATGTATTTACTTACCAGATTAATATATTTACTTACTAGTGCACTAATATTGGGACAAAAGTTGGCCAAGTAATTTAAGGTAGCATCTGTTATCTAAAATATGAATTATGAAATTAAATAAGGTTAAATGACTTGAGCTAAAAAATTAAAATAGCATTGTTAAAATCATATACGATAATTTGGGCCTGCTTTGACTTCTCAAATAGAAGGCAGCTTTTGTAAGAAATTTTCAAATTAAATTCAGAAGTTAAAATCAATCTGCGGAGAAAACATTTCAATCAGAAATTGTAATCAAATAAGATTACACTAACATTTCAATCATAAGTTGTAATCAATCAGAGATTACACTTGTTCAATAGTATTACAATCAGAAGTTATCAATCTGAGATTATAATAGTATTACAATCAGAAGTTGTAATCAATCTGAGATTACAACAGTATTACAATCAGAAATTGTAATCAATCAGAGATTACGATAGTATTACAATCAGAAATTGTAATCAATCAGAGATTACAATAGTATTACAATCAGAAGTTGTAATTAATCTGAGATTACATTAAAACTGTAAACCAACTTTAATTCATGTGCAAGAAATACCTGTGAATGTCATGAATAATTGTCGGTTTACAGTATTAAAGTCCCAAGTTATAATTAATCTACAAGGCTTAGCTTACTTGTATACACTCTTCTAGATCCATCTTCTCCAGTTTGTTACAGTTCTACAAAACAACAACAGCATAGCAACACAATTCACATATCTTCTTTCTTATATTACTATCAAAAACAACAATTTTTTTCACTGCTTGAAAGCACTAAAATTTAACTATTTTGGCTCTTTCTTTTTAAGAATCAAAAGATTAAATACATGAAAAAAAGAGTAATGCTGGGAAAAAATCCTGAACCCATATTTGCTTTGTGCTGAAGAATATCATACCCTTGCTAAAGCTTGGAATCCGCTGTCTGTAAAATGTGAACAACAGGCTGCTTCAAGGGTTCTGAAATTAGACCAATGAGCTCACATGTATATCAATACATTTGCAATTACTATTACCTAAATATATGCATAATTTTTTGTTACAATAAATAGTGCAATATCATGAAAAAAATACTTCATTGTCACAATTTTTTGATGGGCAATGAATTCTAACAAAGGCATCGCAATGCGGAGCACCTCCTGGCAAAAGAGCATATCAATCCTGATTTAAAATATTATTTGCATAACTTCTGTTACGCATGCACTCACTCACCCAAACACTGAAACGCCTTACTAGATCCCCTCCAAGTTCGTTAGGAGAGGATAATGAAGATAGATTAAGTTTTTAATAAATCTGCCATCATTTCTCTCTCTTGTTATTATTAAAGAGCAAGAGCCACTTAGGGCCTTTTTGGCCCTGAGAATTTCTGAAAAATCGAAACTGCTCAGTTTTGGTTGAAAATGCAGTATTTATCACTTGGACCCTTGGTGACTGTGTATCTATTGAACAGGATGTAATTTTCTCTCTAGTCAATACATTATGACGTCATAAAATGCGTCATTTTTCCCATATCCTGTAAATTCCTTTAAAAATGGCCAAAAGTTTAAGTATTTTTTTCATATAGAGCACAATCTCTGATCCAAAATATGCATTTACATAAAGAAAGATCTGTTTCTGAAGATCATAAAACATGTTTTAATTTTTGGATCATGGGCTGTGCTCATATTTTAATTCTTTGCTGAAGATAGTCAAATATGCATGTTTTCTGCAAAATTCAAGAACACTGCATTTTCTAAAAGACTGTTATCCAATACCTGTTCTCAAAAAGAAATTTTGTTATAGGAAATGAAAGAACAAAGTCTCTACTTTATTTTCATATATGAAATGGGACAGAGGGTGATAGTCAATTAAATGATATAAGGACAGGGCCATTTTATGCATAAAGTGAACCTAGCTCTTTGTTATTTTATTATCAGAAAATTTTACTGATCTTGACCTCTCTGCTTGCCTCACCTGATATTTGGACATCCATGACCAAGAGACACTAGTGAAGCATCTGTGAGCCGTGCACAATTAGATATACAGATAAATAACAACTGGTTACAATGCTGACCAACCCTGTGGAGGGCCTCATCTGTAATATTCTACAAATAACATAATTACCTGAGTTATATTTATAATATAATATGCATGGTAAAACTATAAAAACAGTAGCATGAAAAACTTTAAAAGATACTTGTGCATTAGTGAATCCTGCTTTCAAAAAAATTTAGGAAACCTAGCTTAGACAGTATGAATAATTCATTCAAGCAAGATAGCTATACACATCTCTTCAAACAATTACAACATACATGTTCATGTTTAAGAAAATGCAAAAGACTATGTCTATTCCTGAAATATAAGGAGCCCTGATGGTATCTTGTAAACTATACCATCTTGCTCTCTTTGTTCCAGAAATACCAATTTGTCCAAAACAAGACACTGCCACATATTATGTACCCTGAATTTTCTATAATGTTAATGCATTTAGGAAAACTTCTTACATTACTTCCTTGTAGATCCAACTTCTGGAGGTTTTGACAGTGTTTGGCTAAATGTCCAATTCCAGCATCAGTGACCTAAAAATTAATGCCAATTCTAATTTTTTTTTTTCAAATTCAAACACAATCTTCTTTTTGTGTAAATAAAGTTATATTATTCATTAACCACAAAAAAATTCCATCTCCTCAAACGATTGTTTGAAAATCAGTAAACAAGCATTCTTACAATACCTGTGACAGCCCTTTTCCTATGTATGTGTGGAGATTATGGCAACCCTTTGCAAGGGCCTCAATGCCATCATTTGTGATCTTTGTGCACCAAGATAAATTCAAGACCCGCAGACTATGGCAACCATCACTACAGAAAAAAACAATTTCATCACTTTGAAAGCATTTTTTTACTGTCTTTGAAAAGTGATACATTTTCCTCCTTTCTAATGTTAATGGATTCAATAGTATGATATAGTTGAGATGCAGAAAACCTAATAAGACTTCATTGACAGTAATCTTCAAGACCATGTTTTGTTGAAAAACAGTACATGTACACAAAGATTAACAACTTACATGTAAGTAATAAGCCTTTGTTAGACTCATTCTGGGGTCGTAAGACAAGATACATATATGTTCTTAACTTCAAAACCAATTTCTAAGTTACTCAATATTGTATACAGGGTACTTTTTATCCCATTATATTTTTGCCCTATCACACTTTCAATTTTGCCCATTTTAAATTCAGCCAGACATATTTGTGTTAAGTATATTATAAACCATATTATATCTTCACAATATATGAAAGTATCCATACTAATTTACACCAGAAGGCTCTAAAGAAGATAAACAAACTGTCATTTTTCTCCAATCTAGCTATCTCTCTTTAGGAAACATGAACATGGACACGTTAGTTTTGGAGATGTCAGAAAAGTTCAAATTGAAGATTACAGACATCACACAACAAAAACTGTTAGCATATGGTAATTTGAATGACTCATTTAACCTACTAAAATTTTCTTTTGATATTGTTTATCAGTAACATTCTTTGTCTCAGGATTTTATTGGAAAATAAAACTACTCATGTTCCTGCCAAAACTCAGTTTCCCAAAAAAAAACAAAAACAAAAAAAAAAATCAAGTGGGGCTTTTTAACAAGACTTCTGCAGTTGATTTATTTCTTCAAAACCTTACTAGATGAGCAGCATTACCCTAAGGCTTTGAGGGACTGGTTGGTAATCTGTGGACAGGAACTAATATCTAAGGAGACGAGCTTGTGTCCATGGTGACCTAAACTCTCACAAGTCCTGAAACATAGAAGCAGGAAGAGGCTTAAAGCACTGTTCATATGGAATTATTAACATTTAATAAATGGAAAAATACAATTCCCATCAATTTGAAAGGTTTTTAATTACAAAAAATATAAATAATAATATAATGCTTGACAATTTACAAGACTATTAAGATGTTGTTTACAAGAAATATGTGTATTTCAGCTTTTCTTTATATTTTTGAGTGTAAACAATAGATTTATTTTTCAGCAACATATACATCAAGTGTTCTTTAGAAAACTTACGTGTCTGTAATTTCTTTACAGTTGTTCAGGTTCAGCTCTTCTATGTTACGACAAGATTGTGCAAATGTTCTGTAAACAAAAATGAATCACTTTCAAACATTTATTAGGTATTAAATGTATGTACCAATTCATAGAGTATTAGTGTAAAATGAAACCCATACAGTTCCATTAATCTATTAATCTTTGAGTTTTCTAGATAAGATTCTTGCATATTTACTAACTTCAGTGCAGCATCTGTAATACTCTGGCAACCACGTAAACTTAAGGACTTTAAAAACCCACCACATCTTTTGGAAATGTTTTCAACAACTGGACCCTGAAATACATATATATATTACTGTATCAATCTGAAAAAAAAAACATTTCATCTATGCATTTATCTACTGCATAATATTATTACAGGTACATTGAATTATCATGCACTGAAGTTTTTGTATGTCGAAAACAAATTAAAACTTTGATGAGATGAGACTAACAGAAATGTAGTAATACATAATTTAAAACAAGAAATAAATCATTTCTTTCCTATATTTAGATATTATTCTGTGTAATATCTTCGCTATTTTTTATTTTTGGCTATAAAACTTACGACAATATCACGTTGGAACTCAAATAGATCAACCCTCTGCCAATTGCTCCCATCTAATGCCAGCACGTTCCAATACTAAAAGTACACAGTCATATTCAGTTAATTGTACATCATCCAGACCCTTCCTGTATTGACAGAACAATAAAACCAAACATGCAGGCTTCTCGATTTAAAAACCCTTGAATAGATTCACTGCTGGATGTTTCACACAGATTTCCTTTAAAATCAGTTAGATTCATTAGCTATCCAAACAATCTGCCATGTACCAAACGCATTGATAAACATTCAAACAATGCCATGTAGAAAGGCTCATATAATATACATGCTGAATATAGGGGTTCAGAAAAAAAGGAAAGAAAATTAAATCTATTTTTGCCACAACTGAGGTGTAGGAACTGCAAATTCAATTCTTTAAATTTGAAAATTCATAGAATGATATCATTTAGTGGCACTTATGGTTTCCTGTTGAACTTCCAATGTTTCTCCATAAGAAAGTTATGAGCAAGACATGAAGTTTATACTTTTTCTGCCAGTGACCTTGAACTTGCCTAAATGACCTTGTGTCAATTTACACACCCACCTTTGCTTAGAGTATCAACTTCCAATATTTTTCCATAACAGTATTATGGACTGAATATCATGGGTATGAATTAATCACTTTTTCTGCCAGTAACTTAAGCATGTCCAAATGACCTTGGGTCAAGGTAATGGCACATCCTCCATGTCATAAGTACTCTTTGTGTCAAGTATGAATTTCTAATGTTTTCCATTATAAAGTAACAGACCAGCATGAGTTATAAAAATGGATCTGACACAAATTTTACACTTCCTCCTCCAGTGACCTTGGTCTTGGGATAGTCATGATACACACTCAAGTCATAAGCATTTCTTTTTGTTAGTATATATGATCTCCCAATATTTCTCCATTAAAAAGTTGTGGCCTGAACTTGATTGCACAGATGTACATGTATGGACAAACTGATAGACAGATGTGCAAGGTGATTCCTAAATACCCCCCAAATTTTATTTGCAGGAGACAGTATATAAATAAACATCTTTTAAAATATTAACCATTAATTATTTCCACTTAGTTTGAATAAAATAGTAAGTTTTAATAAAAAATCAAAAAGTTTACTTCAAAACTAGAAATATGTTCATTGGACATGAATGCCTCGTCCAGGTTCCGAAGTAATACAACATGAAAAGAAATGTGCCTTGCTTCTTTTGTTTAAGATTAGGGTAAATACATGTAAGGAATTGTTAGGTCAAAGTCACAAGGAAGGTTAAGGTCAGAAAATTATGGCACAGTTGAATAGCTCTCACCAATTTGTATAAGTGTATGAAGTTTGATAAAATATGTTGAATAGTTTCTTTGAAACTGAGTTTTAAACACGAAAAAGTAAGTCAAAAGGTCATAAGGAAAGTCAAGGTAAGAAATTTGGAAACAGTTTACAAGTTCTCACTAATATGTATCAGCATATGAAGTTTGATAAAAATATCTTGATTTGATTCTTTGAAAGTAAGCTAAACACAGATTAAAGAAAAGTGATGTCAAGGTCAAAGGAAAAGTCAAGGTAAAAAAAATTGTTGATGCAGTTGAATAGCTCTCACCAATATGTATCAGCATATAAAGTTTGATAGAAATATCTTGAATAGTTTTTTTTGAAACTGAGCTAAACAAAGAGTGTGATGGCGGATGACAAACACTATATACCCCTGCCATATTCATGACAGGGCATATAACTGATACAAGAATTTTGATCAGAATGGCTCAACTAGGTCTATGGCTCTGGTAAGCTAAATTTATGAAATTCCTTTACACATAAGTGAAAGGACATAAGAAGGTGACCAGCGGGTGAATTAAATCAGCCTTAGAAACTCACCTTGGATACCTGTGCACAGCGACACAGTGACACCACATCAAGGAAAGAGAAGATCCTATAAAACACCAAAATATTGATTCTATAGTTAGAATGTTAGAGTACATGAGATACTATTCCTTTCATCTTTACTAATCAGTTCTTGTGGTTAATTCTGATCATCAGGTTATCCCACTTTGCTTAAAACAATCAACCCAGTTGATCCTTGGTATAAATACCTCAGTAGTAACTCCTTAGGTAGTTTCTTATTGATAATACTGTCATCTTCACTTACAGAGACCTGCAACAAGACAAAATAACAATTAATGTGGAGATGCTATCAAATAAATAGCTCAGTCCCTTGTGGTTTTTCTCAGGGAAGGATTTTTCCCTCCTCCATCAATAAAAACTAAGATTCTTGTCCACTATTTAGGTATTTGTGAAATGTTGATATAGGCTATATGTAAAAATATCTGACACAGTGGCCATGAAGGCATCATTCTTTACAATTGACAAAAACAAGTATATCAGACTAATTAAAGAGTCAAAAGTCAGTTTAATGGAACTTTAAAACAAAGGTTTGGTGTCATATGGCCTTTTAAGACTCCTGTCAGAGACATAATGTAATATTACTGCCTTAATTTTTTCAAAGCAAGAGTATGCAAAATTAAGAAAATAAATGCCCCTTTCAAACAAGAACTTAGTTAATCATGCAATTGCTTAAACTGTAAGATATAGAAATATTTATCACAGTAATGTCAATCAGAATTGTTAAATCTGATTCTTCCCAGAGTTTAATACAAAGCATTGGGGGCTGCAGATGGCAATGCATGGACAAAATGTGATATGGAGTTGTGACACAAAAAATCAACCATGCACAAGCTTAAAATGTCCTGAAGTTATTTTTAATTGTATAGAAAATAAACTTGTTATTCCTCTTTAGCAATAATCAATATACCAATCATTCAAGGGGTTCATTATAGATATCACAAACGTAAGGGACAAAATATAGCAATTGTTCCAGTGTATATACATGTAATTGCAAAATGACAAATTTTGTCTAGCACCATGACAACTCTTAATTATAAGAACGGTCTGAAAAACATGAGAAATCCAAGATATATTAATCATCGAGATTCTGGCGGGAATGGAAATACCAAACACCTGAGAAAACCTGCAATGAGTTCCAATACTGCTTATGTATCACTACTTTCAATACATGTAAATTTCACACCTTTATACATGTGCAACTTAATGATGTCTGAACCAATTTTACCTTATGTTTATAATAATGCATGTAACTGAATATTTTTCTCATTATTGCAGTTTCATAAACTTGTTATTTTGTGATGACCTTGTAGAGTTGTGTAGTGAATCATATCTTTAAAAAAAAATTCAGGTTCTTTAATAATCTGCAATTTCTGGGGTTTTTTGGTAAATTAGTGCAAAAACAAAAGTATATGTTTTAAAATTTTTTGGACCTTGTCAAATGGATAATTCCACAGGTATCTTAATTTACATGATTTAAGCAACAACTGGTTGAAGTTTAAGCATACTGTACAATGATTCTACAAATAATCTTAAATGACCCAAAGAATTTAAACTGAAGAGGTTCAAGATAACCCTACAGCACGTAATTTATCTCGATTAAAAATATGACACATACACTATTTGACATTTTTCCCCCAAAAAACCACTTTTAATATCTCAATAACCTTGCATCAGGTTCTTGAAGCATATCTAGAGTGAAGTCATCTGTTCGCTTATCTTCCCATCAAGTCTATTTAGTTATAATGTTTCTCCATTACAAAATCACATCCAATAGGAATAAAAAATTTATTTCACATAGCTGTTTGAGAGACTTAATATTCTCCTTGATCAAAAATAAATATTGAATCTGAGGTTAAAAAACACTGTCAGAACTTAATTTAATAATGTGCCAGGCATCAACTTTTTAGCAATATTATACAGTCCTTATAAAAAAAAACTTATATGTTGAACTTGAACATAGTCTTGAATACCACACTGGATAATGTTAAAGTGAGTTGGAAGTCCCAAAACTTTTTCTTGTGAATCTTAACCTTGATTTCTCTAATCCTCAGATATCTCAAAGTTTTTTCTTTTCATCCCATTGAGTTCAACATGTTCAAGATAACAAGGTTTGACCGTATCAATTACTGTCTGCATCCTAAAGAATGCTTGCATAAGACAAAATGATGAGCAAATAAATCCATTGTATCCATACATTTTTTTTCTGCAGGAGGAATACTATAACCATGAGAAATTGCTGTTTTAATTATTACATGACTAGAAATTGGCTTTAATTATCATGATTATGAAAAGAACAAATTCTTAACTTACTTCACATACTTCAAATAAGTAACTGTACATTTTTTTTCATTTTCAGTTTTAATTATATGCCATATGAAAATATGTATATGTACAGTTTTATGAGTTTTATATTCAATAAACTAAAGAAAATGAGCAAATATCAAAAGATATTAACAACAGGACAAGAGCATATGCGGCATTATTAGAGACGAATCAAATTAAACACCTGATCAGATGATATACGCAAATATAACAGGGACATGCAAAAACTACATTTTTTTCTTCTCCTTAGGGAACCTGTCAATTTCCTCTGGATTTCACTTTGCAAAAAGCAATTTCTCTGTTCCTGTCGTGATCTGGGTTCTTTTGAATTGAGCCGGCGCTGCTTTTTAGATCACTTTTACTAGAATACACTTTTATGGGTGTATTAAATGTTAATTGTGTAATAACTCTGTTATTGATAACCAGACAGAAAGATTATCAATAAACTTTCAGCATACTTAGAAGAAGCTTTAGATAACTATAGGATGGCCATAAAGGTACCATCATTATTCAGGAAACATGGCATCAACAGTAGATTTCTCCGTAACAAACAACATCAGAACATTCAAGTTTTATACTGACATATAATTAAGGATATAAATCATATTCTTGCATTACGTAAAATCAATACTTCTACAGAAGCTAAATAAATCTCATCTTCTGGAAGGCCAGTCAAAAAAACTCTGCAGGGAAAAAAATTAAAATTGTTATAAATACAAAAGAAAAAGAAAAAAAAACAAGTATTGGGTAACCTTAAAGTTAAATTCATAACCAACCATTCCTGTCTGTATCTAAATTCTATCCTTAAATGTCTTAAATTACAGCCTTTAGGATACTGAGACTTACAAAACAGTCAAAAAGTTGTGAATTGTAAATTATACATCAATCCAATCCATATTCTTCTCATTCCAAATTCAATCTTTGGGCAACATAAAAATGAATTCATTATTTGATGGAATACAACTTACACTGCATACAAAATTCTAACACAAATTGGATCTCACTGGCCAGCTTCTGACAAGCACTGAATCTTAGAATACAAAATATACAGATTTTTTCTATCAATTTTTTCACATGCACTTCCTGAATATATATATACAATATATTTAAGCTGATAACCCCCCCCCCCCCCCCCCCAAAAAAAAAATCAGGTACAATTATCAACATGCATGATCATCAACCTGAAGTATGTACAGAACGGTTAGAGTGATTACTGAGGAACATCAGATAAAAGCAGACTTGTCAAAACCAATATATATAGATAAAATACAATGTGTTGTATAATAAGCATCCAAAAAGGATCTGTACCAAACTGCATGAAGTGAACATACTGCATGACTATAAGCAAATGATAACCCTGTGTTAGGAATTACTGGTACATTAGAACACAAACAGCAAATAAATCTCTAGAAATATAAAATTACTGCAGATTCTCATCAGGAAGATCTAGATGACACTGAAAGAATTAAGCATTATATGGTTATCAGTAATTCCATCTCTGGTGTATCATCCAATTGCATTCCATGCATGTAACTGTGGGTTCAATAGGACATGCAATTACTCCAAATGAGCCTATAATCAAACCTATAACCTGATCGCTCATCCAGAAAATTTCATAGAGCATCTAAAGTATGACAGTCGGTGTATCCTATGATGTGTTTCATTAAGTTGTTTTGTAATGTCACTAAAGAACTGACTATCTAAAGAGAAACCTGGACACTGGATTAGTTGTCTTCTATGTACATAATGTACAGCACTGTCTCACAGTCTGTGTATTGGATTTTGGAGGCTACATTAAACCCACTGTTGGATTTTCTAGAAAATGAAATCATTTTAGTCTCTATGGACTTTCTGATTAATACTAAATTCTGGTTCTTAAGTTGACTTTCAAAAAACAACTCTTATTAATGTAGTAAGGCCTAACAGTCAAATTTAGGATCTTTGCTATGCTAACAGGACATGCTATTTACAACTTCATATCATTTCACTTATTCTACCTCACATGAGAATATGACTATACAGTTAAAACCCTGGATCTTTACATGACTTTATATTTTTGGACTCATTTTTTTTGGTATATAGTCCTTGATAAATCAATGAACATCCTATACTGTAGTACACAACTCTGAATCCTTCTGGATTTCCTAATTGCAATCTTGTGTATTTTTAAGAGTCTTAAATGCAATCCTAGGTATTTATTGGACCTATTCTATACAGCTCTTAGACATATAAGATTTTCATTGGACATTTGATATATATGTAATAACATGCAACTCTTGGTCAATACAGGAATACCTATTATCTTCATTATTTGGTCTCTATATGGATTAATTCCTGTACACAAATCTGAGTTGTTACTGGAGTGCCTATGTGAAGACTTTTTGGAAAATACGTAATCTCTTCATAGCTAGCAGTTTCTCATCTGCTACAATCCTCACAAACCCTTGGCCTATCATACTACAAAAAGTTGGGATTTTTTTTTCCCGAGATGTGATAGGATTTTATATTGTTCAACCAATTGCAAAGCTAGAGTAAATGATAATATCTCCATTTAGGATTTTTTCTTGGAGGACATCATCCAAATTTAAGTTGATGTACGCATAATATACATGTACTCTTGAATCTATATTGCAGATATAGACTTGCATCCTAAATAACAAATAAACATCACCTGATACCTGCTTGTTAAATATTCTTTAAAATTTTTTTTAGTGCTCTTTATTTCTGTCAATGATGCAAGCAGTATGCATGAAGTAATTAAGATTCAAGATCATAAATAATCCCAACTTTTGATAGCAAGATAGGCCAAGGGTTTGTGAAGAGTGTAGTAGATCAGAAACACTTGGCTAGCAAACATGACACAACCTGGCTTTCTTTATTATTGTCTTCCTTTACACCTTATCTTGACTTATATACTTGTTTTCTTAATGTATACAATGTTGGTGTCTTCTTTCCTAATTGAGCACTGTTTTTGGTACATAAAGATTACTTATAATACTATGGAAATATTATACTGTAAACGTCTTAGATTTGGCTGTGAATTCTTTTTAGCGCCTTTGGCGAAAAGCAACTTCTGCTAAATCAGGTACAATGCTAAATGTCTTGCACATATACACATAAATAAGAACACTATATAAGAATTGCGCTAAATCAAATCTCTGTTAATTTTTTCAAAAATCAATCTGTCAAATATCGTACATGCTAAATTTAATACATTTACAGTATTTCACAGGAATTCAATTTATCAGGATTTCTTGAGTACCACATACCCACAAATTTATAACTTTAACAAATACTGAAATTAATATTATAGCCTATATCTTCTATAATGAGACATTGCACCACATCAATTTTTTTCCAGTAAATCAATAGATTCTTAGCAATCCACAAGAATTGTCCTGGGCCTCAAAATTAAAATTACATATAAACTCTCACCTTTCCTTTGGATCACCACATACAATATTAAAAAGAATCGTAAAGATAGGCTATATGCTAAAGGAGTCCTAACTTAGATCAAGATAGATGCATCTCTTCCATACTAGTATAATTCACATCTCTCAAAATATCTGATCATTTATATCTTGAGGGTCACTTTTAATACAACTATGTTTTATTTAGAGTACAAATTTCCTATAATTGTATTGAGATAAAGGGCAGGGCTGTATGGTAAGAGTGATAGCTCCAGCCGAGTCAAACCCTGCCCTGTATCTCTAATGCAATAGGAAACGTTAACAATTAAGTATTAAATATATGATTTGTTTTATGACCTTTATTATGATCTCGCTAATTCACATGTGCATAGGGATAAACAAAATTTCCATGTCCAACTTAAAAACATTGTATTTTCTGTTTAATACATTTTCTTTGGTTTTTCTGAAATTGTGTGGCTATGTGGTACTGTGCGTTTGATATAACACAGTGACACATTCCAGTCATTATTTGACTGTGAAATTTTAGGTATTGAATACAATATGATCTACACTAAACATGTTGAAAATACTTATTTTTGGAAATTGATTTTTACAATATAATGGACATAGTTTATAGTTAAGATTAAGTATATATTTTTACTATAACAAGGACCTAGTTAACTTTAAGATCAATTATGATTATGTCATCTACATGCAGCTGCTATTTATGGACATCATCTTTGAAGGTGAACAAATTATATCTGCTAAATTTAACTATAAATGACATGAAGAACATCATGTTTGATAATCTCCATCATTTAGGCTTACTGACATCATTAAGTAAAAAGGAAGAGTTTCTATTTGTTGTTGAATATTAAGTAAAATAAGCAAATATAAACTTAAATGTATATGTTTCAATTTATATATTTGTTAAATTCACTTATTGTAACCAAGGTTACAGTGTAACAATTAAATTACAATGCAATGATGAGGTGTATATGATTCTCATTGTATCATGTTAAGAGGTCACTCTTTCACATTCCTTTGTTCTCTTCTGACATACATACAGAAGCACGTGTTTTCCCCACTTTGTTAAAAAAATCAATTTCCAGAATAGACATTGATATTTACTCAAAGACACTGTTTATGTTGAAGGGCATGAATAAGTTTATTTTTGTTGCAGTTAACCATCTTAAAGAGCTCATATCTGACAGCTTATTCGTCCCTCCTCTGCCCAAATTTCTGTGTTTTCCCCCCTTCCTTATTTTGACAGATCAGCTGGTCGCGACATGACCATTTCAATCTTCTTGTTAAAACGTCAAAACAAAAATAAAACTTTACCTCCGACTTGGTTTTGTGATGGTGATGAACGAAGCCGTTCTGGTTGTTCATGGCGACAGCATATCAGGCTCTCCAAATCCCCCAAATTCTTTCAGGAAAAATATCTACCCTTCCATCGAACAAAAGAAAAATAATAACAAGAGCATAAGAACGAAACCTTTAAGTGTCGAGAAATTTGATTGGTCCTAAAATTCTTGTGGCGTAATAATAAACATAATATAACTCGAGTGCTTTCACTATGATTAAGGTTAGTTGCTTCATAGAATATAATTTATAGCTTTAAAAAATATTACTATACAAGTATCAAAACCGAAATACAATTTTTGGGCAAATCATTCACCGACATTTTTCTGAGCTCAATCCATCATCAACAGTAAGACTAATACAACAATCGACCAATGGAAAGATTTTTAACAGAAAATAGTTCGGGAAATTCAAAGGGAAATCACTGACATTGTTTTGGTTGGAGAATGACGTCATATATTCACAGTGAGCGGAAGAAAGGAAAAAAGGGGGGGGGGGTTAAAATAAGATGGTGAAATCAATTTATTAAAATGTGAAAAAAATTGTTGTAATTAGTTTTTTTGTTATAAAGGGGCCTGGCAAAATATTCAATATCACTGCCAAAAAAATATTTCATTCTTTTTTTTCATAAAATCGACATGATCGAAGTGCATGGTTTTCAACCTTTTTTTTTTAAAAAGAAAATGTCATGTTTTTTTTTTTTGGGGGGGGGGGGGTTATTTTAAATATGCACTTTTATTCTTGATTATTTCTTGCATATTTCAAGATTTTCAACCGTAAGCACTGCTTTTATATATCAATAGTTCAAACTGAGATATATAAAGGCATTTTGAATACAATTTACATGCATATTGTCAACATCTGCTTCATTTTGGTTAAAAAAAAGAGATGATTATACAAATTTTCCCTATTGGTCATATTGTGAAGGAAATGTACGCTAAAACACTTGTTTTAATTTAGCTTTTAACTTAAAAATTAAGGAAAATTTCAACTTGTTATATATTGTAATTATTTATTCATTGATTTTCTAAATCGACGCATTTTTTTATTTTATAAACTTTGCAAGGTTCGAGTACTGTATATGGACATGATGGATAGTGAAGTCCAACGTACGGGTCTTTCTCCTTTACAACCCAAGAAAGGCGTAAAAGGTGAGTGCAACACACAGCTCCATGTATTTATTGATTTTAATTTTATAAAGGACTCATATATAAATTGTATCAGCTAAAGCAAATTTTAAAATTGCTTATTATTTATCAAATATTATTTGATATGGGATCACTGAAAATTAAGAGATCATGCAAAACATACCAAAATCTGCAATTGCTAAACAAAGTAAATCAAATTCCTTTACTTAAGGGTTATAGTTCAGCTGTCAATCATTGTGTAACTACTCACAAGGCAATTTTACATTGACTGAGATGAGTTTGTATGCTTAATTCCTCAAATCAGCATATATTCTATGATAAGTAAATAATTAAGTAGACAATAGATCATAAACATTTGATTTAGTTAGAGTAACTTTAACGTCACAATTTAGTTCACACAACGTAACAAAAAGGGTGACGTCACAATCATCGCTACAACAAAACATCACTAAGGAAAAGCGAAGATTAGAAGTAGTAGTAGAAGTAGGATTTTACATGTATTCATTTTATAGAGTTGATTGATATCAATAATTATATTTTATTTTGTATAAATGTTAACTATTTTTTAAATTTATTAATTGTTTGCTTTGTAGATTTTCAAAATGGACGTGGTTTTAGATTTTGGCGAAGAAGCCGTGCAGGATGTTGTAAGTGTTACACAGTCAGTGGTTGAGGTGTATGTTATTTACATTCTATAACTTTGACTGATCCTAAAAAAAATCCAACAAATATCTTCAGTATCTACATTTGTAATTACCATAGAAAATAAGTGTTACAATCCAATTTCGTTGGTGAGGGTGAAAATGAAAGGATGTGTAAGGGGGGGGGGGTTAAGACGTTTTAAAAGGATTGTTCATGTTTTCAGTACAATAATAAGTTGATATGAAGTTTGCAAAATTATTACATTTTCCTTCCAACATTTATTAAATTATGCATGAAAGTCCTGTATTCAAATGGATGTTTTTAGACAATAATTATGATTTTTTTTTATGTTTTGATAAAAAAAAAATATCCCTATTTTGAATCCCTCTAGTGTTTTAACCGCCACCATCCCCCCCCCCCCCCTTGAAGGGGAAAAATCGATTAGTATTCATATTTTTATGCTTTACCTGAAAAATAAGATATTCCTAATCTGTAGTTGTAGGTTTCCGGGGAGGGGGATATTTAATTTACGCTTTATTCATTCTTAATCCATTCCACCTGATAAAATTAACATTTAATTAATGTTAAATGTTAAATTAACATTTACAGATACAAATTACCACTAAATTAAAAGTAAATTTTATTATAAATGGTTTTCATTTCGACCATTTGCAGGAGACAAAGTTGAAAATTTTGAAATTCAGCTACAGTTGGGCTGATGCCATGGAAGAAGAGGACAGAAGACAAGAGGTATTTTATTTCACTTGACACTATCCAAAAGATTGTCTCCCTTTCTCTATTTAATTAATTTCCAGGAATCTCGATATATTACGAATTTTCTTCTTCTAATGCAAAAATGAATTAAAGAACTGTTTTTCTGTTAATTTCAATTTTAACAATTTTAGTGCATCTTTTGTTTAGTCATAAAGAAAATGTCATCGTTTACACAACATTTGATGCGTACTGAATGAATTATGTTCATGAAAATGAGCAATAATTATTGTAAAACATTTGTATTAGTTTGAACTGCGTTTACAATAACGATTACTTAAGAAACCTTTAACTGTGTTAATAATAAAACTGTTCCAATGAGAATAAATCGCCAAAAGATTAAATAATATTTCTACGTAAAGAATTATAACTATAACAATTTCTACGTAAAGAATTATAACTATAACAACGTTTAGAATATAACGTTCTACAACAAAATAACACCAGAGAAAGTAGTAAGAGTGTTTTGCATTACTTAATTTTTTTTTTTAAGATTCTCAAAAAGGATGTGGTTTTAGATTTTGGTGAAGAGGCCGTGCGGGATGTGGTAAGTGTTAAAGAGTTATTGATGTCTATATGTTCTAAACATTCCATGATAAGCCACAAAAAATCTACCTTAAAGCACACACTGTAACAATCCTACGTAGTTAGAGAGAAAAAAAAGTGAGGGCATGACATTCTAAAAAAGACTATATATGTTTTGTAGATCTGCATGCACAATGTGCAGTTGTTCTTTTCTTTTCTACACTTACGAATGAGGGATGGTAGTACCCAACTTAAACATGAATAATCTTACAATATTTAACGTTTCCTGCGTAATAAATAAAAAGATTAAAAATTAATTAATGGATTAATGAAAAGTACTCCCATATTGTATCCTTAAATTGTTTACCCCCCCCCCCTTTCTGAAAAAAAGGAGAAAACAAAATAGAAGAGTTTTAAACTTTACCTGTAAAGTAAGATATTAAATTCTTAAATTCCTAGTTAGAACTTGGTGATTTTCAAAAAAAAAAAAAAAACAAAACAAACAAACAAACAAACAAAACATTCAATTAAATTTTTTGTCATACACAATATCCATTCAACCTGGTAATATTATTTACTGATGCGAATTACTGCTAAAAGTAATTGCATATAAGGTGAAAATTTTGAGCAAAGAGTGAAATCAAATGCCCACTTCTACTATTTTTTTTTCAGGAGACAAAGTTGAAAATATTGAAATTCGATTATAGCTGGGCTGAGGCCATGGAAGAAGAAGACAGGAGACAGCAGGTATTTTATGAAACTGGGTGACAACATTTTTTTTATGATGCTTACTACTCCTAGGCACCTGATCCCACCTCTAGAATTTCCAGGGGATCCGTGTTTTATTAATATGTCCTGTTAACAGATTTTTGTTGTTGTTTTTGAGATCGATCACTGTTCGTTATTCTCACCTTTTTCATTCAGGGTATATATACTTTTATACTTGATTTTAGTGAAGTTGTAAACGACCTACATTCTGTACAAATTGGCATCTTCTAATTTTTGTGATATTTGTAAATTGTTTTCATGAGGGAAAAAAAACAGAATTACAACTAAATATTGATTAATTACAGGAGGAAAATAAAAGACAAGACCTGATGAAAAAAATTCTTGAGCAGGTGCAGGTAAGAAGTGAAATTAATTTAACATACCGTATGCAGATTTTTTTTGGGGGTGGGGGTGGGGGAGGGGTCCTGAGATGTTAATTCTTGATAATTTTATTTTGACTCCTATATAGATAAATGTATAATTTTTTTCCTAGAATAAAATCAAAGAAAAGAAAAATCATCATGATATACTCAGAAAAGTCCACAAAGAGCTACTGGTAACGTATCCTTGGTAATATGCTTCAACACCCTTACTAAACAACAATTGTATGTACAATGTACATGTAAATATTACAAATAAATTTGGGTCTTATATCAGCAAAAGAATCATCGTCAACAGACATTGAAAAAAGTGCATAAGGAACTACTGGTAATTTAAGCCCCCCCTCCCCCCCCTCCCCCACACACACACAAATTAGATATTCACACTTAATTATATAAAGTATATGATTTCTGCATTTGTAAATACAGAATATATAAAAGTTAAATTCATTTTTCTCCTAGACAAAAATTCAAAGAAAGGGGGGGGGGGTACTTATCCTCAGGAGCATTAAAAAAAATCTTTTAAAAATGATCATGCCAAATTATTTTTTTTCAGACACGTACATCAAGTATCCAAGTTAGGATTGATCATCAACAATCTCTACAAAGAATCCATGAGGAGTTACTGGTAAGAGGTTAACGCTATACATGTATTCAGACTTGTCCAATAAGTTATGACATGTTATGATATAAATATATTATATATAATAATATGATATAAGTTATGATAAAATATTTTTCAATCTTACTAGAAGTAAATATGATTTTCTTGTAGATAAAAATTCAGGAAAAGGAGCGTTATAAGCAGATTCTGAGGAAAATTCACGAAGAGTTACTGGTAAGGGAAAATAAGTCATTATCATTCTTGTATATACTTGAGTGTTAGTCATTATATATTTGCATTTACA